AGATTAGATAAATATATCCATCATTACTGGAAAATTATCTATAAATAGGACACTTTCAGAATGATTCAGAGGGGATCGCTCAAACTCAAACTCTCATTACGTTGCTACAATTAGTTAGATCTAACTAGAGTTCTGCATGGTAATTTTCACTTCTTGACAGGATAGATAGAGTTAACTTACGATAGACAAAAAGGAAGATATGGCTCGAGTAAAATAAACGAAAGAAGGATATAGAGCAAAATAAACAAAATAAGGATATGGATGGTTAGAGTAAAATAAGCGAAAGAAGAATACTGTTGAGTATAGTAAACGAAAGAAGTATATTGTTAGAACACAATACACGAAAGGAGGATATGATTAGAGTAACATGAAGGAAGACAGGATACGATTAGAGTATAGTAAGCGAAAGAGATTGCGTGGTTAGGGTTAAAATAACGAAAAATACAGTAACGTCGGATCGAAGAAAAGTTTAGTAGATAGAAAAAAAAGACGGAAAAAATTATCGTGGAAAAATCTGATTCGAGTTAAAGGTACAAAATCTGGTACGGAATTATATAGACAAATGGACTAATAGTAACACAACACTTTCATTGAAAAAAAATTTTTCAGAAATTTTCTGCTTTTCTACGTGTGAATTGAAAATTGCAATTGAATAAAACTGAATTATATCCGAAAAATATATCTAGTTAGCTATAATTATGCCGCCATCTATCGAAGAATTGTGATTTTTCAAAAAATAATTCAGGCTCATCCGCAAAGACATTTGGGTTTATAAATAAAAAAAGAAAAATTTTTATAATAAAAAAGTTTATTCAACGATACTATTATGTATATCAAATTACGTTTACTACATCTATTGTTCAATAACGACACGGACTATAGTTATTCAAATTTTCATTGGAGAACAAAGTATCTAACGTTTCTAGACGGCCTATACAAATAGTCGATATTGAAAAGAAAAAGAAATTATTGTCTCTTTAACAGAATATTGGAAAGGCTATAAATATGTAAATACTATTCCTTTTATTCTCTTTTCGACCTAGTTATTTTTACATATCCAAGTTAGTGTAAAAGTGAAATCATTATGCAGAACTGAAAGTCATCCCCTTAAAAATTTAAACAGAGTCGATAATAAAAAAGCTTTTCTGCTTTTGTTTTTTAGATCAATTATCAAAAAACATGTATCGTGGAAAAAAAACAGTACGACGTGGTGGTACATCTAATCAAGTGCGAGTTCAAAATGCAACAAGAAATAGACCAATAACTCGAAAACAAAGTGCATTATTAGCATGTGAAGAAGTTCAAAATAATGAACATAATGAAAAATTTACTCTTATTGAATCAACATTAAATAAAAAGTTATTAGTCGTTAAACATAGCGATTTAATTAAATTGAATGAACCAATAAAAATAAAATTAGGTTCAAATGTTTTAGTCAAACTAAATGATGAACAATCAACATCTGCATGTGTGTTTTATATTGGTAAGTGAACGAACAAATGCACAGAAAATTAAAGTTGCATTGTTCTAAACTTTGTAGGTTCAAAGCAACAATGTTTGGACGAGTTGAATATCATTCAAGATCAACGTAATAATAAAGAAAATTTAAATTTTGACAATACTGTTGATGATGATGATGATGATCCTCAGTTAGTAATTACAACGGTATTAACACAATCAACACAAAAATCTGCTCAATGTAGAAATACAAATATTCCAAAAGTAACAGATTCTGGCATTTCTATTGATAATACTCAAATTGAATCCAATTTTTACTCATCATCTTCAACATCATCAAGAACTAAACCTTCTGCAAATAATTCAGTACAATTAAATCATAATAAAAATACAGCATTAGCTGCAGCTTCATTAACATCAACAAATGATATTACTGTTACTTCACCTAAATCCCCACCACCAGCAATAAATGCAAATACTAGCAACACAACTGCAAATTTACAAAGTGGTCGAATGGATCCATTATCAGATTTAACTCGTCAGTTGAACGAAGTAACCGAAGATCGTGACAAATGGAAAGATAAATACTTAGCATTAGAAAAAAAATATGATGAATTACAGAATATATCGATATGTGAGTCATGAAGTTTCTCCATCATATTTAACTTCTTTTTACTAATATTTATTTCTTCCTATTCGTTGTAGTGATTCCAACAGATTTTAATGTCTGTGAATGGATATGTACAATGTACGATGCGATCCAACGAAAGGGAAATTCTGATATTAATTTCGATGATGAGGCAAGAAAGCTCAACGTTTCACCAGGTTTATTAAAATATTGTGTAAATCTTTCTAAACCACCAACAATAACAGCTCGGAAACTATTCCAATACGTATGTCTGGATGAACTAAGTAAAGGTACTTCATGGTCGGGCATTCCAACAAATAAAGTGGATGCCATACATGGTATGTTATAAAAAAAAGACGTTCAAAAATTAAATTGAACACTTTTTTTTTAATTTAGCTTTTGGTGAAAAGTTGTTTGGACGCCTTAAATGGGATAGAAAAACCGTCAAAATTAGTTTACAAAATTTTATTCGTGGTGAACGTTCCAATTTGAAACATGATCAACATAAATATGATCTTAATGAACTCAATCCTGATCATAGTGGTTAGATGGTAGCTGAAGTAGTTCCAGAACATATTGAGTGACAATAAAATAAAACTAACTACCTTATCTGGTGGTTTCTTACTTATAAAATTGCCAAAATAACTAATTAATGTATTGTTTTTTTCTTTTTATATTTTTTTTCAAACCAATATTTTTGTAATAACTTTTGTATATATTTGGTGCTCATATACTTATTCATAATTGAAGAAAATAAACGAAAACAGTTGGCATGAAATAAATAGATATATTGACGAGGTTATTTAGAGTGTGTTGTCTTTCTTTAAAAGGATCAGTTTCCTCCTAGAAGAAACAGAAACTATCTACTATACGAATAATGATCATATGAAAACCATAAAGATCAACAAAAAAAAGAAAAACTAGTGTCTATGACTACTCAAGTGTAAACATGTTTAACTATTGATGCTTTGATCTATGAATATAACAATTGAATTATCATAAAATACACAATTATTTGTGATGATAATTGTTATCGAGGTGATCCTTGATGATCATATTATCTTCCAATAGTCTACTTTTCTACATTTGGCGTGATCATCGTCGTTAATACTATTGCTCAACGTCTGGCATAACAATAGCTCTTTGTACTAATGTTCAACACGTCTGATTGATCATCATTCTTTGTACTATTGTTCAACATATGACACGATTCTATCTACATATAAATGCACACACTTTTTCATTCTTTTTAACAATAAACTGCATAACCAGTGCTAACAATAGCAACAACGATTTTTTCTCATTTAGATGTCTTCAAGAAACTTAACCAAAATAAAGTGGTATCATAAAAACTGTCAACAAATAAATCAAAAAAGAAGGGAAAAATATCAAGAGTTGAGAAGTCAACAGTAGGTTTTTTTCCTAATTTATTGGCATATTATGCATGACTCTTATCTTTGTATTTTTTGTTATTTAGAAATCAACTTGATTCTGAAACTAACATTAGCTCTTTAAATCAACAGAGATTTCAAGATCATGGTCAAATGAATGTAGAAGATTTTTATGAGGCTAACGACAAAGATCAATGTTCTCTTCTATTTGATCATGATAATACTTTTTATGATACAATTATCAATGCAACACCCTATGATTTTGAAAAGAATAAACTTACTTCAAGCGAAGAAATTGATAATGAAGCGACAGAAATGATGTATTCAACAGATGAAGAAGAAATTTCAGATGAAGAAGTTATAGATCAAACTGAGACAGATACAATTTATCAAAAGGATAAATATGATAATGAACAAGAGTATGGTTACACTTACCCCATTACAAAAAAATTTCTTGAGCAAGACATTTTTTTTTTATTCTAGAAATGACAGTTTGCATTATCAATTCCAGCGAGAACATGATGAGATTGATATCTCTGTTTGTTTATTAACCTTGAAAACGAAGCATAATTTAACATTAGAATGTTTAAATGACATTAGAAAATTACTTATTTCATTAAAAGTAAAGAATGTACCATCATCAATTTATCATATTTGTAAATTGATTAATACAACAAATAAATCAACAACAACTACAACATCTTCGACACGCGTCACCTCATCGATGATTATTTGTCAAAAATGTGAACGTGTTTCATTATCAAAAGAATATTGTTCACATGTTGATTGTGACAATCGCATAAAATATGAAATTAATCCTTATAATTATATTTGTCTTGATATTCATCATCAATTACAACAAATATTTTATCATGAAGAACATATTAAATATTTTACATTTAATAATGAGCCATGTGTTAATTCTATGCGTGATGTTTATGATGGTGAAGTTTATCGTTCATTGTTAGGAAAAGTTGAAACAAACGAAATAAATTTTATAACGACGTTAATAATGAACATTGATGGTATTGCCATCGGAAATAGTACTCAAGAATCACTATGGATAATAACCTGTGCAATTAATGAAATAAAAAGACGAGAACGATTTAAAATTCATAATGCTATTATTGCTGGAATTTGTTCGTGTTTTAAAAAACCTACTCGTACAATAATGGGACTTTTATTAAAACCAATTGTTGACCAATTAATACAATTAGAAAAACATCATCTATTTCAAATGAAGGCATATCATAATGAGTATAGACTGATTCGGACATATTTAATTGGTGTTTGTAATGATAAACCCGCTAATAGCTTGGTTCAAAATGCGCCTGAACCGATTGCGAAATTTGGTTGTACTACATGCGAAATAACCGGTATGCATGTTGATATTTGATGAAAGATGCTCATATTCAATTACATTTGGTTTCATTTTAGGGAAAGTTGTACTGTCAAATTCAGATAAACAAATATCACATAATAAAACATCCTCAACAAATAAAAAAAAAAGAATAGATACACATAAAATTCGTGTTTTTCCTACAAGTGAAGATGATCAAACACAGTTGCGTTCGACAGTAAGATGTGAACAAATTCTTGATCAATTAGCGAAAGTACAGCATAATAATTATCCTGTAACAAATGAAGAAAAATCAAATTTACAATTAGGTTATCTTGGAAAATGTGTTTTAACAGAACTATCTTACTTTGATCATGGACATTCATTCTTGATGGATACACTACATACAATCTACCATGGTGCATTTGTAAGTACTCATCTTCCATCAAGAGTTGTATTATGAGTAGAATACAATCATTAGATTATCTTTATGTCAACTGTGAATATTCTTTTAGAAGCTCATCTCTTGATTTTTGTTTTATTTTGAATCTTTTTAGAAAAGACTTCTTAAATTATGGTTTCATTCGAAATATCGGACCCAACAGTGGTCCATTCGTCAACATTTAAATCATATTGAAACTGAATTACGACAATTTCGTTTTCCATCAACAACAACGAGGATACCCCGAACAATTATGAAATATCATCGATTAAAAGCAAATGAATTACGTGTACTTTTGTTAATAACATATCCAACATTTAAAAAATATTTAAAGCCAATATATTATAAACATTTGCAACTGTTGTCATTCGCACTACACATTGGTGAATCAAGAGAAATTACTTCGTCGAAACTGAATGAAATGAAAATTCTATTAGATAAATTTGTTTTTACATTTCATTTTTTGTATGGTAAACGTCATGCTGTTAATACAGTTCATTCAGCCGTACATTTTCATCAAACAGTCAAACATTATGGACCACTAACAAACTATAGCACGTTTAACTATGAATCATTGATTGGTAATCTTAGTTTGTAGTTAATAAATAACTTCGCTTTTCTTCTTATATTAGGTCATCTTACAGCAACAATTAATGGAACAAAACATTTACCACGTGAAATCGAAAATAACATAGAATTAATTAAAAATTCGTCATTTTTAGGTGATACATATTGTATGTCCTCATCATTATATCCATTAATATCAGAAATTCAAGGTTATAAAACAAAACTATCAGTAACATCAAATAGTTATCAATTACAGAAACCAACATCAATTATTCATAAGAACGACAAGCACGAGCTGTTCTTAAAATTTGGCAAAGAATTATCACTATATAATAAATGCAATATAAAAGGTGTTACATTTACAACCTTACATTATTCAAAATCGAAACAATTTCAAGACTGTGCTATTCTTTACAGACGTGAAAACATACATTGTTTCGGTCTTATCAATAAAATTATATTAATAACAACATCAAATAATGTATTGTTGCAAATTTATCCTTTACATGATAACAGAAAAGATGAGATATTATTGAATTTTAACACACAAAAAATTTTGTGCGATAATGTTGAATTTGGAACAATTGATTTTGATCATCATATTCATATTAACGTAGATGATGTCATTGAAAAAGTATGCTACTATCAATTCGGAACAAAATTTATTTTCATTCGATATCCAACGTTGACTGAGTCTAGTTAGAGAACATATTACTACTTATCTTCAATTGTTAGGTTTTTTTTATTAAATACATACTTGTTTTTCTATATTATTCGACTATTTTTTTATCTTATTATATCACAAAGAATTGTTCCGAAGAGTAGTACCTTTTAACTTTTCTATGTTCACGTTGATATCACCTAACGTTTACTCTAACTAAAACAGATTTGTATTCTCTAGAAGCACATCTTTACTGGAAACACTTACATACAAATATTCGTTCAAACGCTTTCCTAAACTATCCGTCTTTTGGAGAAAAAATGCGTTAAAAAGAACAACATTGTAATGCGTTTCGAAAAAAACCGTTTTTTCTAGAAAAAACGCATCAAAAAGAACAATATTATAACGCGTTTCGAAAAAAACTCATTTTTCGATCAAAGAAGGCTGAAAAACGCATTTGAATGCAAAGCAGATAAACGCATCCAAACGCATAAAACGAAACGCATTCAAACAGTGTTTTTAAGTTGCGTTTTAATTTGGAAAAACGCGTTCAAAATAAAAAGGATGCATTTAAATGCGCTGGGGACAGAACTCGATGCGTTTAAACGCGTTGAACTTACAAAACGATGCGTTAAAGCGCAAAAATAGCGTTTTTTTCTAAAAGTTTGCATTGAAACGCATTTTTATACCAAATTTTTTTTCATGGGGAGATTGGTTTTCTGCCGACCGATTATCTTGGAAAACAACTATAAAGTGCCAGCGATTTTTCACTTAAGTTATTGTGTATTAGTTTAATGAAGCTAAGGAATATATGTGAGTTCCACATTTCAGCTCCAACGGGCTCCACTAACAAGTTATTTTTGTTTTCTTTTGTGTAAAATATCTGCTCGTCCACCTCTATTATATTTTCAGGAAACAATTAATATCTTTTCACTTCAGTCTTTCGTTATTGTCTATTTGTTTTATCACCTATTCTTTAACGTTAGAAAACATTCTTTCACCGGTATGTTGATCAAATCTCGAAAAACTCCAATGTCGAAAGCAAAAAATCTCGAAAGAGTGAAATATCGAAGAAAAAATTTTGAAAGGGTAAAAAATCGAACAAAAAAATTTTGAATAGCTACTAATGTATGATATAAGTATAATTATCAGATAGCATGTATATTCAATTGAAATTTTATTTTAAAAGTTTATGACAATAAATCAATGAAGTAAAAAAATCGCATGAAGAATAACAAAAAATCACTTCGTCCGGACCAACAAAGAGAGTTCTTCGAGAAAATCACCGAGAGTTATTTTATTTTGATCAAAATCCGAGTGTGAGGGTGGAGTGTCGATGTACGTCTTCTCTCCTTCCATATCTATGCTCACCAACACACCCTACATTCACACCCTCGTATTTTTTCTACATTTTCTTTTAGAGATTTTATTTTTCAGGATTTTGTCTTTCGAGATTTATTTTTTCGGTATATTTTTTTCGACATTTTCTCCTTTCCAGATTTTGTTTTTCGAGATTTGGACAGAAATTCCTCTCACTCATTTCTGAGAGCTAATTTTATCATGACGCAATTATGCTCTGTTCTTGAATTGTTTCCACTTGTATTCTATTCTCCTCTAGATAATATACTGGAGGTAACACCAGTGCTAATGTGACACTATAGTTTTTACTTCTCTCTCTTTACAAGAATTCCATTCATAGTTCACCACAATGATTGCGTATCGAGAAGAGATCGATGGGCTTCGAGCACTCGCCGTTCTATCTGTCATTTTCTACCATGCTGGCTTTAACAGAATTTTTGCTGGAGGCTACATCGGTGTTGACATTTTTTTTGTCATTAGTGGCTATCTGATCACATCGTTTATCGAATCTGAACGCATAGAAGGAAATTTTTCAATTGTCCATTTTTATGAAAGACGATGTCGTCGTATTCTACCGGCACTCTTTTTTACTCTATTCATTAGCAGTATCTTTGCGTATTACTGGATGTTACCCGAGCAGCTGGAAGAATTCGGACAATCGCTTATTTCTACGATTGTTCTCTCTTCGAATATCTTCTTTTGGTGGAAAGATGATGGCTATTTTGCACAATTAACTGAATTAAATCCTCTTGTTCATACATGGAGCTTGGCTGTGGAAGAACAATTCTACCTTGTATTTCCATTACTATGCTACTTCATCAGCAACAAGAAATGTCATCTCATAGTTCTTCTGACATGTTTCGCTCTGCTCAGTTTCTTTCTTGCTCAATGGGGTGGTAATCTACAATTGAGTCTAGTTAGTCAATTTCACATGTTTTCTCAACATCCTTGCGCATCCTTTTACTTACCTGCCGGACGTGTATGGGAATTACTTCTCGGCACTTTTGCCGCATTTCACTTACGAACTAACATTTCAAGCGGGTAAATAATATGTTGATGTTTTTATTCTATATGAGTCTGTTTGATCAAACTATTGAGAAGCTTTTCATGAAAACATATTTATCAAATCGATCTTCAGTGTTGGCGTCAATTTGACTTTAAAATGACGTTTTTTGAGTAGGAATATCACTAGTTAGCAGCTATGCAAAAGCATAGATGTTTTCAGACTCATCAAAGAACCTATCTAACTGATACCTTCCGTTTGAGCTCATATTTTACTCATAGGTAGGACACATAATGTAGATAAAAATCCTATAAGAATTCGTGCGATTGTCGTTTTATTCTTGAAGAACTAGGTTAACAAGTTTCTCAAGAAATAGGTTCACTGTGTTGTCTGTAAACTTTGTTCGTTTTGTATCCCAATAAAAGAATATTTTCATGAGTTGAAATATTTTTTTTTTACAAACTCCTCTCACATATGGTGTTAAGTGTAGTAGGAATATCAGTCATACGTATCTGAGTATATCTACTAGATATTTTTTCTTTCCTTTGTATCGTACACCTATACGTTCAATTATAATAAAGATGAGAAAAAAATTGACGTCCTTTTAAAATGTTCAACCATAAGAAAGACGAAAAAACGAATGCGACGTTTAGTCTACTACATACAACCCTGGATGCATTACCTACTGAACAATATATCATCCGAGGTCGCTTATAAATCAAAACAAGAAAAAAAAACAGTCTTGCAATGTTTTTCCATGATATATTTGAAGCACATTATTACGTTCGCTGTACTTCCTTCCTTGTACTTCCATGTACTCCCCCCTATACAGGGTGTTTCATAAGTTTTGAGGCTTGATAACAATTAATACATATGCAAACAAAAAGTGATCTCGGACCAAAGGTATTTATATAAAGTTTGAGTACTCGTGACGGTCTTTCAAATGATGTATGATTAGATGAGATTTCATTTTGTAATAATAAAGATATACACATAAGAATGTTGAGATAAATTTTTTCAAATCGACCAACAAGATATTTTATTAAAAAAGAAAAACACTCTTCTTATTAAAAAAAACACACTAGTTTAATAGATAAAATGTAGTTTAACTATCATGTATCTGTTCCTCGCTAGCTTTTATCACTTCACCAAGTCAGATAGAAATTTTATCAATCATTTTTCTACAATCATCAGAAGTTATTTTTTCCATGTTTTCTTCAGTCTAGGTTTTAACTGCTTAAAACTCGAAAACTGTACTCCTCGTACTTTTTTCTTTAAAATTCCCCACACGTTCTCAATGGGTCAGACATCGGCAAACATTGCTGATAAAAAATAATTCGTTTTGAACCTACTACGCTGTTTTGTGTTACGCACATCATATGTTCATATATTTTATCCAGTTCATCTCAGTCACTGGGCGTATAGTGTGGTTGAACATGTGATCAGTTATTCATGACTGGCGGTAAATAAACGACTAAGATAAGTAGTTACTGGTCCTGTCACACTTTTATTTATGTAAGATAAGTATAGTACTTTATTTGAGAATCTTTAAAAAAATCGTGTTGGTCGATTTGGAAAAATTTATCTCAACATTCTCATGTGTATATCTTTATTATCACAAAATGAGATCTTATCTAATCATACATCATTTGAAAGGCCATCATCAGTACTCAAACTTTATATAAATACCTTTGCTCCGAGATCACTTTTTATTTGCAAATGTATTGATTTTTGTCAAGCCTCAAAACTTATGAAACACCCTGTACTCTCGGAGTACTCGGAGTACGGGAGCACGTGTTTTCTCCCTTGACAAATACCCTTTAATAGTTATTCCCTCATTTTACTTTCAAGTACTATGCACTAAATATTGAAACATATTGAACTTTTTTCTTCGTAAACTACGCCAGTCATAAATTATATGTCGCATGAAGTTCACAGTAGAAATCAGAGCTTTTCCAGATTTCAAGAAACTTCTTGAAAAATTCATTAAGAGTGGATCACTTTTTTGAAAACGGGTCATGGAACTTTAGTCTTGTGCTTTTATTCAACTAAAGAAAAAAAAGACAGCTTCCTATTTAAAATTGTGACCGAAAACGCTAGATTGATTTTTTTCTATGCAAAATCTTGTAAAATGGTGACAGTTTAAGCGTGTTAGGACGCCAAGAGAATCTTGTAAACAATGACAGAACTCAGAATATATCTTCAAATAATAAAAATTCCCAATATCTAAATTGCCTATGCCTTTTTAGAATTGAAAATCTCAATTATGTTTGAGTTTCGTTCATTGCTTTTTGAAATGGGAAATGAATGTTTACGAATGATATTGAAATATCTACCTTTGAATTTTTCATACTAGAAAGCCTTGTCACAAATATAACGAGTTTCTTGCTTTTTTCGGACTCGTGCTCATCATAATCTCCATCTTGCTCTTTGACAATCGTCTCATACCTCCATTTCCCAATTGTTATACTCTCATGCCTACAATCGGAGCCATATTGATTATTCTTTTTGGAACAAAATATACATTAGTGGGACGGTTGCTCTCTACACGTCCACTACGTTGGGTGGGTCTCATATCTTATAGCGGCTATCTTTGGCATCAACCATTACTTGCATTTCTTCGGCTACGATCTAATGAAGCACCTCACGTCTTAACTACCCTCACCATTATCAGTGTCGTTCTTCCTCTTGCGACTCTCAGTTACTTCTTTGTCGAACAACCATTTCGGAAGAGACAACGTTTTTCTCGAAAGCAAATATTCTGTACTGCTCTTATCGCTGCTGTAGCGATGTTGGTTCTTGGATTGTTTCTTATTGAAACCGCGAATAATCGATCGTTGACTATCAGCAACCGAGGCGATCCTTATTTATCCGAACTAGGAAAATCCGGCAATTCGCAGTATGTTGCACGCGCATTCGATGATTTAGCAAGAAGAACAAAAACATTCTCGAATCAATCACTAAACACGAATAGAAAGATCGTCCTGATCGGTGATAGTTTTGCTCAAGATTTTTATAACATGATTATAGAAAACAAATATCTTGTGAACGATGAGATACGCGTCCATTTTGTTCATACACACTGTCAAATTTATATGGGTCCAGAAAATAGACTCAAATATATTATGGCCCAAAGTAAACAAAAGTGTACAGATGCGAACGATATCAGTTATGCTTTACCACTTATTCATCGGGCGAATATCGTTATTCTAGCTAGTAATTGGGATGAGTGGAGTGCTAGACGACTGCCGTCCACATTAAAATTACTACATAAAAGAAAGCAACAGCAAATGTTCGTGATAGGAGCAAAAAATTTTGGAAAAGTTAATCCACAGTTGTATGTGAACAAGTCAAATGAATATCGAATAAAACAACGCCAACACCCATACTTAGAGGCTGTCAAAGTAAACACATTATTGGAACAAATAATAAATCAATCAATATTTGTCAATGTACAAAAGTTGGTCTGTAATGAATTTAATGATACGTGTCCTCTGTTTACTTCAGATGGAAAGCTAATATCATACGACGGTACACATTTGACAAAATATGGTGCTCGTCACATAGGAAATATTATCTTTCACAATAAACCGCTAAATAGATTGTTAACGGCTACTTCTCATTTGCATACATAAAAAAAAATAAGTTTTAAGTAAATTAAAATTTTTAAAATTTCGTTTGATTTGTAGATAATAATTTTATTATTTTTTTTAAAAAACGATCAAAATTTATGGTTAAGTTTTAAAAATTTGATTATTGAGAACAAATATAAAAAGTAAATTATTTTAAAAGATTTTAATAGAAAGTTATTTTATTTTAACTAAGTATGCTGTAATTTGTAGAGGACGTTAGTTTTTGACAACAGGAAATTTTTGAATTTTAGACAGTTACTGCAATTTGTGGAGGGTGCAAGTTTTTAACAACAGAGAATTTTTGAGTTTTTAGATAGTTACTGCAATTTGTAGAGGACGTAAGCTTTTAATAAAAGAAGATTTTTAAATTCAGTAGAATAGCTATAATTTGTAGAGGACGTTAGGTATTTGTTTAACGAAGATTTTCGTTTGAACTTAACTACGAAGAATTTTAATGCAAGTCAAAAATGCAATGTACTAGTTGATTTGTTATTCTTTGGTTATTGATAAACTAATACTCATAATGCACGAGCAAGGATCGTCGATTTTGGCTGAGCTAAGAACGATTTAAATTAAAGACAAAGCGAGTATTTAAGAAGTTTGCATCATAATTTGTTGTGATAATTCGATACTTATTCGGAATGCAGTGTGGACGGAATGGGCTGCGTTCATCAAGAGAAGACGCTCATCAACATCCATATTTCCAAACCGTCTTAAAACATCATTTTTTGTTTTTTATTTTTGTGAAACACGATCTAAAAGGAGTGTTGAAGTGTATAGGGGTAGAAATTTGGCCCCCCCCCCCCCCCCCCCCCACAGACATGACAGACATCCTTAGCAACGACACGTCACAGACGTGACAGACACGTTGAAACCGGCTTATCAGAGACGTGACAGACATCCTTAGCAACGATCTATTACAGATGTGACAGACACGTTGAAAACGGCCTGTCACAGACGTGACAGACGTCCTTAGCAACGACCTATCACAGACGTGACAGAAATCACAGACCGTGACAGACACCTTAGCAACCGCTTGTCATAGACATCTTAGTAACGAGGCGTCACAGACCGTGGCAGACATCACTACGGGACCATTACAGACTGCTACAGAGGCAGTATCGCAAGTAAAGTCTACTGCTTGTTATTAACTAATGAGAAAACGTGGAAACATTAGTTAATTGACAGAAGTGGTATAAAATGGATTATTTGTAGCAATGAAAAATATTAAAACAAGATATTTTCTCATAGAAAAATGAACAAGTATGAACGCTATCACTTTCATTAAACTTTCAGTCAAGTTTCATTTTGCTTTTCTTGTAAAAAACGATATATTTTTAAGAAAGTTCTCTGGTCTCTACTCCTCACACTCTCTGTAACAGTGCGTAGTGATTGAAAATTGAGACATACGTCACTAAATTCCTTCATTCACAATATAAAAAGCTCCATCGTGTTTCACATTTTTAATCCCTCAGGGATTGCGCTGAAAGCTTTTGCATATAAATGCTTTTGCACCCCAATCAATTGTCTCCATTCGATGTTTTATGCTATCTTATAGTAACAATTAGATGGTGTGTTCAAATCAGAAACAGCTCATGATATTCATAGTAACAATTATGTCTGGCGAACTCTACAAATTGCAGTCAATTAAGAGGGTGTGGGTGTGAGTGGGTGGGCGTGGGTGTAAGTGTTCTCCTACTGTTAATTCTCACATCCTCACCCACACCCACACCCACACCCTTTTCTTTTTATTGTAGTTATCTTGCTGGAGATCAACTAAAAGTTAGTTTTCTTTAACAACAGAAGTGAATTTATAGCGAACTGTCTCTATAAATCCACTAAATATTCGATGTAAAATATCCGTAATAACAAAAGCTAATAATATACACCTTATGAACGTTCTAAAAGATGGGTACTCTCGCAAATCTTTAGATTATTCTATCCTTTTAGCCTAATCTACTATAATAATCCCTTAATCTGATCCTTTAATATGAGTCTTATTCTAATTCCTTACGCGTCTAACACCATGACTTTCGTCTTTAAATAATCAGCAAACGAGATATAATTCAGTTTTCTGTGTATCAATCTTTAGATTGTATTTAATAGATTTACAGAAAACTATATAAAAGAGTACACAGTCTAAAAATAAATGCTGGAAATAATCAGTCAAATCAAGAAGAATGTATAGAAAATAAATAAAAAGCTGAATGCAAGACAAGAAGCGAGCAAATAAAAATCACGCTCACAAAAAGAAGGTGTTAGATTGAATATCATAAAATTAACCAAAAGTGTCAATTTCATTTAAGTTTTTTCTTCAAGTCGCTAAATAGATTTGTTGCCATTTTTGTTGGATCGAAGCCTAATTTCAAAAAGGAAGAGAAGAGTAAAACTAGTTATTTTAAAACGGTATGGAAAATTTATTATTAAAGCTATTCTAAAAGTTATATTTCGTTGGCGCTCTTTGATATGATGTGCTAAGAAAATTAGTTTTGTTTAAATTTACACACGAGAAATAAAAATATTGAGCAACATTGTCACAAAATTAGAATGCATCATGTTATTCTTCTGAATCATCTACCTTGATTTACTACATTCGTCATTTGACACTCTTCGTCTGTTTTGTTTTTATTCAATCTCGTCGTTGCTGCTTTATCATAAGAGAGACTGGAAAGCTCATCTTCTTTCTTGATATTGTACTATAAAAGTAGACAGTGAGTGAAAAATTCTCTTAGAAGAGCTATATGATGTTAGAATTTCATAGAGTACTTACTTTATCAAGAATTTTCTCTCTTTCTGCTTCACGCTCTTTTTTCTTCTTAGCTTGTCTTGTTTGTCGTTCTTTTTCCATTGTTGTTTGTCTCTTGTTACCAGCCTAACAGTAGTGAAATAAGATTCTAGAGTGAAGTTTTTTTTCTTTCTAAAAGAAAATCCGTTACACTTGCAAACAGATCTCTATCAGAAACGCCAAAATCTTCTGTTTCTTCGTCGGTGTTTCCATCGGCAATTAGTTCTAAAGAGCAAGAGAATTATAGTAACGATTAGAGATTAATGAATACCTTCCATAGATTTCATAGTGTTATCAAATTCATCTTTAGTCATTATTTTCGTCAAATGGGAAGACATTATTTTGATCTTTACCACTTTTGCACACCTAATTCTTAATAAAATATTGTATTATACCCTCTTCTATTTAACTAAAAAAGAATACTCAACTGTGATGATACGCACATGTTGTTTTTTTCGTTTTTCATCATGCATCCTCATTCAAGCGCATCATTTTTCCTTTCATTTCTTTTATCCCTTTCGATAGCTTACATCGAAACGAACAAAGAAAGAAAAGGTAAAAGGTGATATTCATATGACAATTTTTGCAATAAAGTGATTCCTGTTTTTTTTTGTTTTTAAAGAATACACGGGTTTTTTTTCAAACAAACAATTCAAGACTTTCTCAAAATATTTATTTGCTGATGTTTCTGTGCTAAAAATAGTTCAAAATAATGAACTCTTCGGCTTTTATCGTAGATATCTATATTGCCTATAATGGCAACAGAAAATTAGCTGATTTGAACTTGATGAAGAAATGTCATTTTAAAAATACGTATTCATGTGACCAATCATATTCTCGCAAATATATTGTTCTCATGAGTTCTGAGGATATACTCTTTTACTGATCAAAATCAAAGAATAAGCAAGCTCTAATTCCTTATCTGCTTCACCAAGTAAATCTGCTCTTCCATGGTACCATTCCGTATAGATAATAGCTACCGTCGGTAACGATATAACATGGTTTATATCTTTTGATCGTTCGGTTTCATTTAGTTTCAATCGTTATTGTCTCAAAATTTTAATCAGTGATCATCAATGAGATCGTCAAATACACAATTCTTTTTTTCTTTCTCGCAATAATTTAAATGATTGACTCTCCAACTTTTGTACATAGCAAGAATACTTACATTGCAACATTTTCGTTAGTTTGTACTGAATGTAATTACATAAGTAATCATAGATATCGTTATACCGACTAAGTTGAGAATCGATTCTGCGATGTAATATCTATGTTAACATTATCCACATAGATTTTTGCGAGTTGAATTAAATAATTTTTTTTTTCTTCAAAACTCATTGAATCATATGTTGTGGATAGTGGAGTTCTTGGCACCAGCGTATTTCCGCGAAAATTCAAGCACAACTCTTTCATTTCCGAATTTTTATGTTTTCCAAATAGAGTTTGCGATCTTGAGAACGTATCGCTGAGCATGAAATTCTCCTATATGATATATTCGATTGTAAAATCTGTTCACGTAGTAGTTTTCCGATTCATTCGTTAGTAATCGCGAATGTGTTTATTGTCGTTTTTGATGGTTTGCTCTATAAAAGTCATTTAAAAGGTTCTAGTATGAAAAAATTTCAAATATTATTGTTCTGTTGAAAATATAATTCAACTAGAGTTCAGATTTTAGTATCGATATTTTCATATGTAGTTCCTTTCACTACTATTGATCTAAATCAATTCTTTAATAACATAGCCGTTAACAAGTATAGGATTGTAAAACGAGAGTCTACGCATACAATCAAAGTGGGACGATCACATCTTTTAGTTTACTGTTGTATGAAATGCCCTGAGAAAAATTTACCTGATATGTTCACTTATCTTCTAATACAGTATGTTGTACCTATGGAAAAAGTTACAATGCATTGCCATGTAAAAATGTCCTACAAAAGACGATAAGAGAAACAACTTTCATTACTTTACTACAAAAAATTCTTCTCCACAATATTTGCCTTTGTTCCAATTTATTTTGTCTCATCGGTAAACTTCCAATCAAACATTCATATCATAAACATGTAGGAGTTTGTTGTACTACCGTATCCTTAAAAGAATGCAAGCTTTTTCAATCGTAGCCTATCTGTTTAGAGTATTGATGCTCTTTTATTTTTTCGTCATGCAAATGTACTACGTGTGAAAATGCACAAGGTATATAAATTTAAAAGCAGATTGTGATTCATAATCAAAGATAGGGGTTGCAAAAAAGAGAAAACTTGCACCATGACATAGTCGTGTAAAATGCTACTACCAACTGAAGTCTCTCATGTCATATTGTTTGTCTTATCTGTGCGTCAATCATTCCTATAGATATGAGTGTGAATGAAGAGACTATTTCGATCAACATCAACACCATCTATCGAAAATCCCTCTGTTACACTTCAAGTCATCTCTTCCATTTTATATTACTTTCCCAAGAACCCATGAATATTTAAATTTACTTAGAAGTATAGCACAATGCATTTAGGCTATAGTGAAATGTATCAGTTTTTGATATATATTACTTGTTAGATAATTTATGAAGTGAGATGGTCAAAATTGTCAGGTCACAAACGTCTTTTATTATAATCATCAATCAAACATTCAAAATGCATCGATTAGAAAAAATTAAAAAGAAGCTAAGTTTCTCTTATGTTAGAATCTTATTTATTTCCATTGATTTTCAATTAGACAAATATTGATTGGTGCAATGCTGTTTACCTGTATTCATATCATATAGGTTATTAGTTGTGGACTCGATTTTTTTACTGTAGAATAATGATGTCAATATTTACTCTTTCTTCTATACACGATGAACTCGTGCCATATGATATTATCCCAGTAGTCTAATTGGGAAGGCAGTTCGGTTTGTAAAATCCATGACTACTTGCAAGTGGTCCGATAACAAACTGTTCTCATATTGGTTTGATTGAGTCCATTCATATATCATACCAATCATATTCATGTTAAATACAACTAAAGTTTTGTAATATAGGGTGTGGGTGTGGGTGTGAGTGGGTGTGAGGTGTGGGTGTGGGTGTAAGTGTGATTCCTATTGTACTTTTGATCCACATCCCAAATCCGGTTTTTATCAAATTCCAATCAATGAAGCTGATAAGGAAAAAAGCGCTTTTGTTACACCATTTGGTCTTTATCAATTCAATGTTTTACCTATAGGACTTATAAATTCACCTTCAACATTTCAAAAGGTAATGACCAATACATTGCAATCCTGTCGTCAATTTTGTCTCGTTTACCTTGATGATATTATTGTCTTCTCGAAATCCTATGAAGAACATATTAATCATCTTGAACAAGTATTTTCGGCTTTACAAACAAAATATTTTGTTCTTAATCCTCCAAAATGCGAAACTATGGTTCCAACAATCAATTATCTTGCACATACAATTAGCGAAAAGATCATTACTCCGATGAACGAAAAAATACAAGCAATTCTTGATATTAAAGAACCACATACACTAGCTCGTGCAAATAAATTTATTGATACATTAAGCTGGTATCGTAAATTCCTCCCAAATTTTGCTACAATTGCAGCACCAATTCATTCCGTTACCAATCTTAATAAAAGAGACCGTCGTAAATTTAAGTGGACGTCAGAACAATCCACAGCATTTCATCAACTCAAACAAATGCTTATAACTGAACCATTATTTCTTCATTTTCCTGTCGATAATATACCTCTAATATTGACCACTGATGCGAGTAATATCGGCATTGGAGGTGTATTACAACAAGAAGTCAATGGTCAACTTCGAAATTTATATTATCATCCTCAATTAATGACACCTTGTGAACGAAAGTACAGTTCAATTGAAATAAGGCCTTAGCAATTTATAAATATTTTGCTCGTATGAGATCATACTTATTAGGTCGACGTATTATTATACAAACTGATCATTGTCCATTATGTAATATTACGAAAAAGACAGTTGGAAATGCAAGAGTGGATCGTATTGCTCAATTAATCCAAGAATATAATATTGAACAAGTTATTCACATTAAGGGGACCCCCCCTTTCCGGCGTTTTTAAGAAACGGCCGAACGAAAATTCCTGAAACTTGCAGGCTAGATAGACCTCGAGTAGTAGAGCAAAAGTTGTCATAGACACAAATTTGCCAGACGTCATCTTCATGGACTTCCAGAGACCCCAAGGTCAAAAACTTGCAAAAAGTTTTCCCCCCCCGCAAATCCACAAATTTCATCCGTTTGAGCTGAAATTTTTGCTGTGGGTAGACAGACCCAATCGGGGTGGGCGTTTTTTTTTTTTCAAAAATTCCAAATACTTCAGGCTGGAGAACCAAAATACTGAGCACTTTGCAAAATCTCTAGGTTTTTTGGATCCTAAAAATTTTGCGAAGCTTGCCAAACTTGATTGGTAGAAGGTATCCAAAAAAAAAAAAAAACGCCCAACCCAAATCACTTGAAGTCTCACCAAAACAATATTCAGCCCGATCGGACTTGAAATGGCGGAGAAAAAGGGGGAAAACTTCATTTTTTTGCTGAAAAAACTGATTTTGAGAAAAACGCAAAGAAATTTGTGTTTTTTTGGTTTTTTCAGCATATTTTGTGATTTTTTTCGAATTTTTTATATATAAGATGTGGTTTTTCAGTTCTCAAAATGTACTCAATGGATAGAGGGCATTCAAATCTATATACTAATCAGAAAAAATGAAAAATGAAAAATGTGAAAATTTTGAGTCGGGAAAGGGGGGGGCCCTTAAAGGTCGTGACAACTGCTTACCCGATTATTTATCTCGATATCCTTGCGACCAAAACGATGATTTATTTAATATTGATTATGGTATTGGCAGCAAGCAAGATTTATTCGATTCTCCATCTATTACTCAAGATCGTTTAACAGCAATGTTACTACGACCACGAATAAATCAATCAAAACTAATAAAAGCTACCACAAATATTGATTCTTTTCCAGATACTAATCGTGGCTCTATTTCTGATACTGATCCTGATACATTGAATAATAAACCTAGTCCACCTAAATTTTCGTCAAATTACTTCGATACTACAAAATAAAAAGAAGAACAGGATCGAGATCCTGATATACAAAATATAATTCGTCGTCTCCACGACAAATCAACTACATTACCCTTCATACTTAAAGATAATCTTCTTCGTAGATTAATTACACATTCTTCTCATTCTAAAACTAAATTCGATGTTATTTATCTTCCAGCATCTATGGTTAAACCACTTTTTTATGCATGTCATGATGGTCCAATGACTGGAGAACATTTTTCCATCGATCGAACATATAACAAAATTAAAAATCTCTATAGGTGGCTAAGAATGAAATTATCAATTTTACAACATATTAAATCATGTCTTTCATGTCAACAATATAATATTAGTCGCCAGAAAAGACATGGCCAACTTCATCCAATTCCACCACCAGATGATTCATTTCTACTAATCGGTATTGACTTTTGTGGTCCACTTAAAAGAACACCGCGTGAAAATCAGTATGTACTCGTTATAACTGACAACTTCACGCGATATATAACCGCCATTGCATTACCGAATTGTACAGCCGAAACGACCGCTCAAGCTTTATTTAATGAATATTTTTGCAAATATAGTATTCCTAGTACTATTATCAGTGATCAAGGAGCACATTTTCAAAATCACCTTATGCAAAATATTCAAAAATTAATCGGGTACAATCATATTTATAGTACGCCATATCATCCTCAAACCAATGGCATTGTTGAACGTTTCAATAGTACATTTATCCCACAAATCTCTAAATTACAAGATACTGCAGATAACAACTGGGATGAATATCTACAAGCTGTTGTATTTGCTTACAATTCCGGCATACACAAAACCACCAAATACTCTCCATATGAATTACTTTATGGTCGTCAACCTCGTCTTCCTATTCATCCACGGCCATCACATTTTTCATTCTCCAAACCCAGCGATTATTTTAACCAATTACAAAAAACATTACGTATTTATCATCAAGCAACAAAATCTAATATTATACACCAACAAGAAATGAATAAAAATCGATATGATCAAAATCGTCTTGATCCACATTACAATATTGGCGATAAAGTTTTAACTCGTATTTATGGTACTCATAGCAAATTAGATCTCAAATTTTCTCCCATACCGAAAAGTATTATTTCTACCAATCATCATCCTATCTATATTGTTCAAGATATTCAAACTGGCTTGAACTCACAAGTTCACGTTGGTGATTTACGACCCATTTACCTTGATTAAACTTAGTCCCCATTCAATCAGTTCAAATCTTTATTCCAATCTTCTCTTCTTTATCATACAACTGCTCCTAATTTCACAACTCCAACCAATTCAACATTATCTTCCCTTTAACCTTCTTCTTTTGATCAGCCTGTAAATAGGAGTTTCACCTCTATGCAGTACTAAGACATGCTAGGACTGTATTGAGAACCCTTATGGGCTAATCAGTCATCCAGGACGGTTAAGTTACCATTTACCCCCAATTGCTTATCTATTCATTATGTCTTTAACCAAATGATAATATTTTTAGTCATTTCAACAACTTCATCGTCTTCGTCATTATTGACCTTCTACACCCACAAGATATTCATCATTGGCTCTTCCATTATTGCTTACGGTCAGTTTAATTTTCTCTATCTTTATTTTTCTTTTCCTTTTCTTCTTTCTTATAACTTCCGACCAACATAGATATCAACCATCTCTTCCCCTTCTACTAACCCTTTGATGATGCAACCTCCGAATATATCGGAAGGCAGCTGTCCATCGAATGATTTTCCTCCTCCATCTTCTTCCCGTATACGTCATAGTACATCAAAACGATCCCGTCAATCCCGACAACCCAACATCAATCCTCATCAACAAATTCTTGCTCGTACCGAAGAAAATTATCCATCACATCTCACTGATTAACAACGAAAAAAATGGCTTAAAGCCGGTCGAAAAGCTCGACAGAACTTAGAACTAGTTCAACAATTAACTCCTTTTCGTTATCCCGGTCTTCATTCTATTACTCCTGTTGTCATCCATCATTTAACTCCAAACTCAACACTTGAATCTATCATCAACAACATTCAAGATGTTAACATCTATATCGTTGATACTGAATCTGAACCTCCAACTCCATTTCGTTCTGAACCATTACCGGCACTTCTCCAAATTCAAGCAATTCATAACCAAGAACAAAGCACCATTCTCCTCATCGAACTTCAATTCTTACCACACCCATCAACACATACTTTCTCCCTCATTCAACGTCTTTGTTACCATATTTTTTCTCCATAACATCACATTGTTTCATGGGGTGAAATTACTAAAGAATTATCATCCTTTCAACAATTTGCACTATTTAATTTATCACAAATTCGTCATCCACTTAATCTCCAGCAATATTTCACCAATGAATGGAATCGTAATCATCCACATCTTTCACCACGTAACACCCAACAACGTCACATTTACCTTGATCCGGATCCAAATCTTGAATTAATAGTTAACATCGACACCAATGATTTGGACGATAATTTATTTCCTGATAACGTTAGGCAAATTAATATTCGATGTACCTGTCCTGACACTATTCGTCCCTATAAAAATGATAATGAACAATGGAGCCTTCAAAAGGCTCTTCAATATACATTTAATGAAGCACTAGATAAAGCTTTAACCTTTAATGCGTGGAGTTGTGGACTTGACCCTCTTTTACATTCTGGTCATACTACTGAAGAAATAAATACTCGTGCAGCACTCACAACCTATGCTATTAATGATGTTCTTGCACCAACTAAATTACTTTTCCATTTACATCACGACATTATTCTACGTTATCAATCTCCAACTACAGTCACATCCACCTCGACCATCCAAAATGCACAAACTCAATTGCCTTCTTATTTCGTATTGTCTGATAGTCATGTGAAACATATTGATTCACCTATTGATACTGAATTTGGTACCATTACTATCATTACCATTCCCGATTTAAAATGGTGTGATACAGATAATCCTCATTTGTGTGCTTATTCATTATTGCAATCAACGTCAATGTCATTACATTTGTCAACTGCCTCAGCAATAATATTGTTAATTGGTACAAATTCCTTATGTCGCTTTGATGCATCTCAAGTAGTTCAACAAGCAGCGCACACAATCAATTACCTTCATCAACCTTATCCCAATTTACATCATAAAGAAGCCATTTCAATTGTTGCTATATTTCCATGTTTCAAATTTTTCCCCAACTTTCCGTCGCCATCATCATTATCTTCAAATATCGATCTGTATAATGAACAACTCAACATCTTATCCACCAATATTCATTATACTGTAATAGACTTTCAAGTAACTGCATCACATCTTGCTTCAGATCACATGCATTTACATTCTAATCATCAGGATATTATATATAATTGTATCGTTCGACATTTTCAAGAATTATCTCAACAACCACCCTCTACTTAACGTCCTCATCAACGATCAAAGGCAGCTCTTCAACGTCGTAATCAGAAACGCCATGCTAAACAAAAACACAAACAACGTCAATTCACCATTCGTCATCCTATCGATGTCAATTGGAAACCACATCACATCAAACATTTACTCCGGTTATATGATGTAAAACATGCTCGATTACCTGAAGTACATAATCATGTTTTGCATATACAATTTAATAATCCTCATCAACGTGATCATACTGAGCGCACACTTCCATTAGATATATTTTCCAAAGAACTTTTTCACCATCATTTTGATACTAAAGACTAATTTTTTTCTGGTTGTTTTTCACATTCCCTTTTGTTTGTTTTGTTCATGTCTTCTCTCAACTTCTTCCTTGTTATAACCTCGTTCTTTCCTTATGTCTATTCGCGTATGTGTTTCTATACCTCCAGCTGAACGCTCCTCTCTCTTCTACCTGCGTGACTCGTATGTTCAGCTGACGCTTCGGTATTGACAGGAGTCGTGAGTGCCTCACTCAGGCGAAGAGGGAGGTGTTAGCGTCAATAGAGGTCACTCTATTACCGCTAACTGTCCAGTTGTTATATAGTGATTTTTCTCCTTCCTCTCTATAGTTCATATATGTATTTCCATTGGATTGTCCACTATTTATCTATATATGTTTCTCCCTTTTTTTCTCAGATTAGTCACTTATTGTTTCTCTCTTCCCTGGTAATATACTCCTTGTTGTTTTTCTCTTTTTCCGGTGATATACTGATTGTTATCATTATCATTATTATTATTATTTTTGTTATTATTTCTTTCTCTTGTTATTTTCCCTTTCCCTTTTCGTTACATTGTTATTATTATTTCCTATTATTGTTATTAAAACATTAATTGATTAATTAAACTATTATCTTTATTTGTCATTACAAGGTCCGGTAAGAATGTTTATTTACTTTTACGTGAGATTCCTCGTTCCCGTTGCAGACCGGGAATTTAATATTTAACCATCTTCCGGGCTAAACTATAGAGTGGGGCAAGTGTCTAAGACATTCCCATAAACGAGAACCTCACAATTCGAATTATAAAATACTAATTAGGATAAAGTTTAACTTTTGCTTTTTTGCCAGGCTTATATAAGAATGCATCAATTCCAATCATAAATTTATAATTGGAATGAAACTTATCTTTTCCTTTTTTGCCAAACTTGTATAAAAATGTCCCAATTCCAATCATAAATTTATAATTAAGGATAAAATTTATCTTTTGCTTTTTTTGCCGGACTTATATAAAATGTCTCAATTCGAATTATCAATTTATAATCGGAGAAAATTTATGTTTTGCTTTTTTGCGAGACTTATATAAAAATATCTCAATTCGAATTATAAATTTATAATTGGGATAAAATTTATCTTTTGCTTTTTTGCCAGACTTATGTAAAATTGTTTCAATTCGAATTATTAAGTTATAATTAGGATAAAATCTATCTTTTCCTTTTTTACCAGCCTTATATAAAAATGCCTGAATTCGAGTTGTGAAATTATAATTAGGATAAAATTTATATTTTGCGTTTTTGCTTTGTCAACATGGGTCTTGGGGTTTTTTGCGATTTTCCATTTATATTCGAACTCGAATTAGACATCTACTGGAAAATTTTCTTTTTTTATTCTTCATATTTATCTCGAGAGACATTTATTAAAAAGAAGAAGAAAAAGTTATTCCTGATAAATAGGGAAAACAGCTAGCCCTCTAAAAATTTTAATAAAGACAACACGCCCACACCCACCCACACCGATACACACCCACATCTCACACCAACACCACATCCAGGTGTGCAGGAATCCCCGAATGAAGTGGTAGTTCCAGCAACTGCAGCTATTGAAGAGGCATTTATTATACCACAGAGCATACTTGGTTCACCAGTATGGGTAGCATTACTTTCGGAAACCACACCAGATTTCATCCAACAAGTACCACCCATATATGTAGTCCATACAAAGTGAGAACATCCTGATGTTTGAGCACATTGTCCAGCACAAAGATTTGATGCAATAAGAACATTAGACATATCATTTCCACGAAAATAGCATCCGAAGGCCGAATTATTCGCGTTCCACTGGATGCCACTTTGTATAACAGTATCCAATATACCACAGATCATAGTTGTATCATTGGTATAGACGGCATCACTTTTGGAAACCCCACCATATTTCATCCAACAAGTACCATCACTATATTTAGTCCATGTATAGTGAGTACATTCTGAAGTTTGAGCACATCGTTCACTACAAAGATTTGATGCAATACGAGCATTCGACAAATTATTATCAAAAAAATCACATGCTAAGGCCCAATTATTTCCATTCCAATTAATATCGCATCGAACACAACCAAGAATCAAAATATTGACTAGCATTAATTTAACCAAAGACCAAGTTGACAGAATATCGATCATTTTGTAATTCTAATTGTTATTCGATTAGTATTTGTAGATGACTTCTAAAAGCAACAAATAGTTTTCTGTCATTAATTAGAAATCATGTTTAGTAAACCTCATTCATTGTGCGAATAAAGAACAAGAGTTTCACAGAAGCAAAATACAATATTATCGTATAGAGAAAGTGACTTTTCATCTCACTTTTTCATTACGAACTTCGGTTGAAATAGTCCGTTACGTTTTTCGGACGTAAGAAAAAAGACAGGGTGTTCAGAATGAAGTTCTCAATAGCAAAAGTCAATAAAATATAACAAAAAACAGGATGTTCGGAATGAAATTTGTCCAGGAGTTCGTGACGACCCTAGTCGAGAGTATCCGAATGAATCCCTTGGGAGTTCTCCACTCCCCCTAGGTCCCTGGAGGAAGTCCCTGTCGCGATTCCCTGAGGACTTCGAGGGGGACTTTATAATGAGATTTCACTAGGGGTGGATATTATGATAAAAATGTCGTGTACGATCGTTTACAGTCGTCGTAAGTCTCATGGTATATTTCTGAAGAGTCTCTGACAAATCTTCAGGAACTTACTAGCAAATCCCCAGGGAGTTTCACATAAATCTTCTGGGAGTGCTTGAATACCTCGTAAACCTCCGGGGACTTCCTGTCGTGAGTCCCAGGGGATTCGTAAAGCGGTTCTCGACTAGGGGAACTCTGACAATCCATTGTTAGTATTGAACAGCGAACTTTTGACTCGAGATCGGAATGAGAAAGTCTGAAAGTTCGTAATGGCAAAGACAGGGTGATTGTAATGGAAACTTCGGAAGACCCTGTCACACCATTCCAATTTCCCTGCGTTTCTATTACGATCTCCCGTACAAAAATGTTTACGAACTTCGGTCATAAATCTTTAAGGACAAAATTTCATTTCGGAACATTTGGACATATGTCCGAAGTTCGGAATGACTTGAGATGACAAGTACGTCATCCATCGTATAATCTCAAGAATATTTCAACATCTTATTAGGGTAGGGTTTACCATTAGCTATGACTAGAGTTAAAAAATGTTCAAAAAAACAAAAGAAATGTTCTACATGTTTATCGTGCTCTTACTTGCAACTAGTGGTAATTTGACATATAAGCATAGAAAATTGAGTTGTGAGAAAGTACAAAATAAAATACAACAAAATAATTATGACTCAATTCTTTTAATCTTAGAACTCGTTCGATTGCATTATCTCTCATAGAAAAATACTATATTTTATTTTATCTTTATTTTTTTTCAAGATAAATTATCCATTTATCTGTACCCGTCATTATCAAGAAAAGTAAACATTAAGTGTTACGACTGAACTGAACGAATACTCCTTCCACAAAAATTATTGAGTATTTATTT